CCATGCTTCCCACCCTCTTTATTTTATGATAAAAGAAAATCATTTATTCAATTCAATATACTGGCATACAATCTTGATAGAACACTGGGATTGAGGCCATGCCTTGGGACTGACTACCTTAGGAGAATCAAAATACATTATAGTTGAAAGGTGTTACACTTTCTAACTTGATGAATAATTTCCCTATAGTGCGAGTGATGAAGCGTCACTACTGCGTACAATAAGCCTTTTTCTCATTGCATTAATGTAATGGTTAAAAAATTATCCCCTAGGGGTTGAACTAAAATCTCCTTCTGTAAATCCCACTTGTTAGGAATCATTCTACCTTCTAAAACAAAACCAACTAAACTGATATCACTTTATAGGTAAATAGCTCTTCATTACTTAAAAATAATTCTCATGTTGACACAGAATACTGAAATTTTAAAATCCTCAAAAAAGCTGGAAGAAAGCTTAGAGAGTAAATAAGACTTTCCCTTTTTTTTTTTTTTTTTTCAGAAGAAGTAACTGGAGCTGAAAGACGACTTATCAGCCCATAGCCCTTGAACGGGATCGTCAAAACTAGCTCTAGAATCCAGTCCCTTGAATCTTGCTTGGTACTATACGTGTGTCTTCATCTACTGTTTTTCTAGTGTTAAACCACTCCTTAAACAACACGGCTTTTGCTTTGGTTGCCATCTTTGGATTACATCTTAATAAGCTGGTGTCACTCTCAGTATATGAGGTTTACATCAGTAAATGAATAATACAGCACTATAGAATCACTATCTTCTTTGAACTGAATAGGAATATCCAGAAGTATAACCTAATGCAGTCATTTCTGCAGCTATGTCATTATTGACTAATGCAGAGGTTGTCATTAACTAAAATATCTAGGCTATTTTTCTATTTTCTACATATTTAAGACTTCCTTGACAAACGTGATTATTGGTTAGGGTTTGTCACTGAATATGTGAATGAGAATTTAGGATCATGCTAAAAATAACACGTCTGACACTTCAATTTCCCTTACTACTCCTTCCATACATTAATTCAGTTTATTTTTTAAATACCTCTATTTATGAGAAAATGAGATGGGCAGTAGGGATATAATAGTGAACTAGAAAAGCAAGATTCTATGCTCATGGAGCTTACATTACAGTGGGGAGAATGGTGAAAAGTCAAACAAACACACAAAGAAATTACAAATTCATTCAGTGGCTAATCTTAATAGGAACTCTGAGATATCTCTCAGACTTGTCTTCTCTTTCTCCCACTGGCATCACACATTCTTAGGGCTCTTACGATTCTTACAGTTCTCATCATTTATCACTTTAAAAGTTTGCCTTCAGTTTCTCCTTCATCTTTCACAGTAAACCTCTGAGCTATTCCTGAGATTTTTAATTGGTGAGTGTCCATTTTTTGTGGGGAGCGTTGAGAGAGAGGGGGGAGGAAGGGAGGTGAGAAGGGGGTAAAGAAAGAGACAGAGAGAGGGGGAGAGTGAGAAATAAGTATTTTAAGAATAAGGGATCTGTTTTCAGCAATGACTCCAAATTTGAAAGCATTTCCTTTAGCCAACAGGATTTTAAATCTATCACTGCCACCAGAGTGAAACTAAAAGGGAATGACAAAAACCAGGAAAACAAAAGTGTCTTAAGGTTAGAGTTGAAAGTTAGGCCACTATAGCCAGCATGTTTTTGAACTTTCTAGAGGGAAGAAAAACATTATGTAGAAACCAATGAAAAACACTTGATTAAAGACTCAAATATTAGAGACTACATATTGAGCAAGTATTAGAGACTGTATATTGAGCAAGTATGGCCTAAAACAAGAGGTAGACATCCAAAGGCAAAACAGCATGGAGGTTAGTTCAGTGTAAGCAGAGGATGCTGACCAGGATAACACACAAACAAAGAAATAACAAACCAGCCACATTAGTTAAGAGTTATCCCCACCTACTGTATATCCTTTATATTTCATTGTTTGTAAGTTATATTTTATATAGTACATCTCTTCCTTTCTAAGAAACCATAATTATAAGATATACCATAAATTTAATAAGAACATTTTAGAGGGAAGGAGAAAAAAAGAACTTCAAGTGAAACGAGGGTTATAAAAGGTATCCAAATTTCAGATACCTTAGAATTTGAGAAAAATAACTTCTAGAATTACAGAAACAATAAGTTCTTGTTTTCGTGCAGTAGTTCTCAAACATGCATGTATGTTAGAATCACCAGGCAAGCTCTGAAAAACTCTCAATGCTCAGACTACTTCTCAGCCCAATTAAATGTGAATCAACGGGGGTGAGACCCAACCAACAGTGTTTTTAAAGTTCCTCTGATAATTCCAATCTGCATACACATTTGAGAAGAACTCTTAAAGAATGTTTTTAGTCACTGGCAAATCTTTTTGTCTTCTTCATTTTTGCCTTGAGTAACAAAGCACCTGTAGATACATAAGCAGTTGAAAGGGAGACTCTGCCTGATCTGGTGTCCATAGGATAAGACTCTGGACAGATTCTGATGTCCACAGAATAAAACTAGATATTAAGCTATATTCTTGATAGAATTCCTTCTAAATGAGTCTTCTATTTGTATTTTACATGACCTTTTTGTAAAAACTTTTGACAGTTTGCATTTACCTGGAAAATAATGATCAAATACCCTCAGTATGGTTTTCAAGATTTCCTCACAATTTGTTCCCAGTCTTTCTTTCTAGGCATTTCTGGTGCCCTCCTTCAGATATTCTGTACTTTTGCCTCAATGGATCATGAAGAGTTTCTTGCATACTCAGTGTTTTTCCATGCTTGAATGCATTCAAAAGTATTTTCTCCTCTGTTTTGAGTGATTTTGCTTTTCCTTTTCTTTGTGGCAAAATTCTACTTATTTTTCAAAGGCTTTGAGACCCACATAATGTCTTTGCCTGTGAAGCACTTCTTTCTTATGGTGCCAATTTTCAGGCAGAAAAAAACTGTTACTTCTTTTAACCTCACAAAGCTAATATAATACTTACTGTATTAAATAATTGTTACTCATGTAACATGAACTCCCTTTTGACCTATGGAGCTTAATAAACAAAAAGGTTGTAACATTTTTTATTGTACCTTCACAGCTCAGAGTAGCAGCTGAAACTATTATGTGTATTACTAATTCATAAACAAAGAAGAAGAATGAATTACATAGTCCTGTCTCTAATTACATCTTTGTGGTACCAACTCCAGATGTCCACAGAAGGCATGTAGATGACAAAGTTATTTAATGACCAGAAAGGAATACAATTTCACTAAGAATGTAGCATTAGGTACCAATTCCTTTGTGTATCTATTCTTAAATTATAGCTAAATGGTCTTATAAATTATCATATATCCAAAAATCTTGGAATTATGCATGTATAAGGAAATAAAAAAGTAATCCAGAAATATTAGAATTTTATTATATATTTCTGTAATGAACAGATATGTCTGCCTATTATGTTCTAGTAACATGTTTTAGTTATTATAGCTTTGTAACATGTTTTAATAAAAGTTAGTACTCTATCATTACTATTTTATTTTTTTTAACATATCCTAGCCTTTTTTTAACATTTATTTTCTCACATTAATTTTAGGATATAAAATTTCTATTTGAAATTGGCTTAATGACTACTAGGAGGTATTAGCTTTCAGTTTATTTAAATCTTCTTTCATTTCACACAATTCTTATAGTTTTTTAGGTAATTTTATTTTTAAGATATTTTTAAAAAATTATTTTTATTGCTACTGTAAAGGGAATGTTTTCTTATTATTGCTTAACTGGTTGTTATGTGTACAAAAGCCTATCTACCTGTGTGTAACAGTTTTTATCCAGGTAATTCATTTATATCTTAATAATTTATAGTATTTTTCTGCTAAAAAGTTTGTATTTTAAAGAATAAACTGCAATAAATTCTAGGGCTTTTAAAAATCTGTGTATTCTAAACTTTTATCTTATTATGATTATTGACATGAAGTTTGCTTCAGTATTACAATTTGTTTTAGTGTCTAAATTTTCCAAGATCCACATACATAGAATAACAGAGGTTTAAGCCTGAGAAAGATCCTAGAGATTATCTGACAGAACACAATCACGGTGCTAAGGAAATAAGATTTAGCTTGGTCATAAAAATTGTTCAAGATCCCACATTTACGTAAGAGGAAAATTAACACTGGAACTACATCTTCTTACTCTTAATCTAGTACTAAAAAAACACTACAGAATGTAGTGGGGAGAGGAATAGGGCAAAAAGAGCTACAAGGGAAAGAAAGGAACGAAAACAGAAAATAAGCCTGATTTCACAGTCCTAATAATGGGTTTTCTTTAGAATATTATAGAGCAGATTGCAGAGCACTGTAATAATACTCAGAATAAAGTAAAAAGTAAATATAATCCCAAATCTGTGGTTATCCATATATGCAACTAAAAATGCATTTCAAAATACAGTCGATCTTCATTATTTGCTGACCTTATACTTGCAAATTTGCCTTCTCACTAAAATTTACTTGTCTCCTGCAAAATGTACTTGTACCAGTGATTTGCAGTCACCCACAGACTTGCGCAAAGTAGTGAGAAATTTTGTTGGTGATTTCACTGTTTAAAATGCGTTCCGAATCAATGATAATTAATAAGGTGACTTTAAACAGAAACACATATAAAATAAGGTTATTTATTGATCAGTTGATGAAAATGGTATGACCAAAGCCTCTCAGCAACCCAACTGTATTCCCCCAACAGTAATTGCTTGGTGTTCACTAATTCAGCATTCATGGCAACTTTATAGAACCTAACTAGCACAAATAATGAGCACCAATTGTATTATTGCTATATCTTAATTAATGTTCAGTTCATTGCTGCTGAAATTTAGCCACTCTGAGAGAAAAGAACATGTTACATCAAATGGTATAAGGTTTTCTGGATAAATTCTAAAACTAATTTAGTTATAAAGTTAGTAATCCATT